AAAAAAAAAAAAAAGCCAAAACAATTCTTGGCTCAGCACCTATGGCTCAAGCAGCTAAGGCGCCAGCCACATACACCTGAGCTGTGTATGATTCCAGCCCAGACCCACCAAACAACAATGATGGCTGCAACCAAAAATAGCCAGGCATTGTGGCAGGCACCTGTAGTCCCAGCTACTTGGGAGGCAGAGGCAAGAGAATCGCTTGAGCCCAGGAGTTGGAGGTTGCTGTGAGCTGTGACACCATGTCACTCTACCCAGGGCAACAGCTTGAGGCTCTGTCTCAAAAAAAAAAAAGAAAATTTATATAATTTACACAAATTTTGGCTATTGCTCTCTCATAAGTTTGCTTCTCCTGGGGACTCCGTTCTGTTACAGAAAACCTATGCCAGCCAGGCGACAAGGTTCTGCTTATAACCTGGAAAGAGAGAGACCCAGTGAACAGCTTCGTGAGAAGTGGACTGAGCCATGGGTAGTTCTCCAGGAACACCAACAGTGGTCAAGATCATCGACATAAAACGTGGATACATCATACCAGAGTGAAAAACACCTGTGGGAGGCTGGGCATGGTGGCTCACACCCGTAAACCTAGCATTCTGGGAAGCCAAGGCGGGCAGACTGCTTGAGTTCAGGAGTTTAAGACGAGCCTGAGCTAGCGTAGCAGGAAGCCCGCTGCAATCAGCTGGAAGAGGAAGTGGCTTTATTCAGCCAGTGGAGTCTCAGCAGACTAATGGCTCAAAGACTGAGCTCCCCCACCCCCGGTCTGAGGCTTTACCTTCCCTTTTAAAAAAAAAATTATTTATTTATTTTGAGACAGAGTCTCAAGCTATTGCCCTGGGTAGAGTACCGTGACGTCTTAGCTCCCAACAACCTCCAACTCTTGGGCTCAAGTGATACTCTTGCCTCAGTTTTTCTAGTTTTGGTAGAGACTGGGTCTCACTCTGGCTCAAGCTGGTCTTGAACTCATGTTCAAGCTATCCACCCACCTTGGCCTCCCAGAGTGGTAGGATTACAGGTGGTAGCCATGGTGCCCAGCCTACCTTCCTCTTTTATAGGGTCTACAATTCTATGTGCATTGAAACACTCCTGACGGGCAGGGTGAAATAGGAGGGGGTAAGCTGAGTCAGTGCGAGCCTGTGTGTCTCAAGATGGCTGGGGATAAGAGAAGTAAAGTGACATCACACATCTTAGGGGGATATACAGATAACAGAGCTATTTGCTACAGTGGAGTAATTGTTAACTTCAGACATTCAACCACAAGCCCAAAAGCATAGTAGTTTTGACTACAGGCATGGCCCAGTGGCGCCACCAGTCAGTCTGGGATTATAGGCACTTGCCACAAAGCCCGGTTAGTTTTTACTATTTTTAGTAGAGACAGGGTCTCACTCTTACTCAGGCTGGTCTCTAAGTCCTGAGTTCAAGAGATCTACCTCCCTGGGCCTCCCTGAGCACTAGGATTACAGTGGAGAGCCATGCCTCAGCCTATTGTCTAATAATAATTTAAATGATACTAAAACGTTATTATACCCTTTGGACATGCTCACACCTACTTGCTCCTGGGCTGCTTTTTGCTCAGTGAGAAAAAAGCCTATTGTTATTTGCCAGTCAACTCTACCTCGCTCCAGAAAGAAAAAATAAACAGACATAAAATATGGGTAACTCTAGAATTATCCTTGCCCTTAGACTGTCAGAGCTATCTCCACCTTTTTAGTCCAACAGATTATGTAACCCTCTCCATTTTTGTTGTTCAACCAACAACTATCTTCCTTACTGTAGACATCAGCCCACTAGCTTGTGCCGTAACAAAGAGCCTGAACACCACCTATCAGGTTACAGTCATCTTAAGTATCGAGTTAGGATCATTTTTTTTTTTTTTTTTTTTTTTTTTTTTTG